GTATTTATGCCCTCACTTCCCTGTGTTCCCTTGCTTAATTTTCTCTGCTAGTTTCACTATGCCAAGCAGTACTAATCAGTGTCTGATCGCAGGACGTATGGACGGGTACGTGAGAAGTGTTCTCCCTGTTTATTTATTATTTCAGTCATAGTTAGTATTTCGTATTTTTGGCTGTCTGCCTGTTTTTTGGAGTCTTATTTGCTCCGCCTTTCTTTTTCGTGTAAAGTCCGCTATTTTGTATCCTGGCTTCGGGACCATTAGTGAAGTTCCTTGTTTCACCATCTGCCTACTGTCTAACCTGCACCGCACCTGGGTCACACCTCACACCAACCCTTACAGTATGTCAACAATCCTTCCTACAAAATACCATTTTATGGATCAAATCTTGTGGAAATCCCCCAAATCAAGGTTTCTTCTTAAGAGTCCTAGTTTCGTGAGGAATCACTAGATTCCCTGGTAGATTTGGCCTCTCGTTATAGACTTTACTAATTTAGTATGTGTAAAAAAACGGTAAATCTACTAAATTTAAACTCTAATAATTTATAAAGGCCCAACACAGCATTAGAAGTATGTTGTTACAAGTGTAATAATGGGTTTAATATGTTTTATTTCAGCTCCGGATAACACCAAGTTTACCCTGTACTCTCATCCTGGGCCTATGCAGCTGCGGTTGAAGACAGCGTGAAAAGGAACATTTCACAACACCATGACAATCAAACTGAACTCATCCATTAAAAGTAACCAATGAAAATGGTGCATTGCATGCGTTTTTGTTTGAATGATTGGTTGTAAAATCTTGCATTTAAATCAGATACGGCTGTAGAAGCATTTAATCTCAAGTAAAGCTAAAATGTGTTTATTATATTTCTATTAATAGTCCATTGGCACAAAGTGTAATTAAATTTTAAAAATCTCGGCAAACATTAATCAAATAAATCTTTATATATCACATTTCAGACATGGATGCATTGCAATGTGCTTCACAGGAAGAAAAAAAAAACATAAATACAAATTAAAACGGGAATATTTACTGCACAACAAACATCAGAGGATAAAAAAAACAAGAATAACAGTAAGCCTAAAAAGCACCCTAAGGAAAAGCAGAGCTAAAAATGTGTTTTTAGATCCCTTTTAAATATGTCCACAGTTTCGGCCCCCTCAGGTTCTCTGCCAGGCTATTCCAGAGGCTGGGGGCATAGTAACTAAAGGCTGCCTCTCCATAGCTCTTGGTCCTAGGCTTTGGGATAGTTAAAAGGCCAGTGCCAGAGGACCTGAAGGACCTACTGGGTACATGACTAAAAAGCATGTCTGGCATGTATTGGGGTGCACAATCGTGGATTGATTTCAAAACCAATAAAATAATCTTAATGTATTCTAAAACTCACAGGCAGCCAGTGCAGAGACTTAAACCGGTGTAATGTGTGCTCTCTGTCTGGTCTTGGTCAGTACCCGTGCTGCAGCATCCTGTATGTTTTGCAGTTGACCAATGGCTTTCTTGGGTAGACCAGACAGGGGAGCATTAGTAGCCAAGCCTACTTGTGATAAAAGCATGGATGAGTCTCTGTATCAGCCTGAGAGCGAAACAGATGCATCTTGGCAATGTTCCTCAGGTGGTAAAAAGCTATTTTGGTCACATTCAGAATCTAAAATGACACCTAGGTTTTTTACCTGGTGTTTTATCTTTATTGCCCGTGAATTAAAATGTGTAACATAAATAAACTGAACAGTAATGACCCAAAATCTAACCTTGTGGAACAACATCAACAATAGAGGATATGTCAATCGAAAGCCCCTTGGTATTGACCAGGTCCTGAGTATGGCTGCGGTTATGGGTGGGCCCAGTAGCATGTTGGATAAAGTCCATAGAGCTCAAAAGATTAATACATTCAATGGCCTTGGAGTCAGTCTCAACATGAAAATAAAAATCGCCCAACACAATGATTTTATGATAGTTCTCAAGGACAATAGACAATAGTTCAGAGAAATCAGTAAAGAAAGTGGGGCAGTGCTTTGGTGGCCTATACAGGGTTATAGCCAGCACTGATGGCTGACATTAAAACCTCTTAGATGTAAAGTCCCCTGGTTAGGGGACCTGCGTGGTTCTGGTACCGGTTCTGACTGTCATTTTTGCTTCTAGACCTATCTGTGGACGCCGTATATTGAAATGGCTTGCCTCTCCATGCTTCTTCTGAGCCTGTGTGACGTAGGATGTAAATTCTGAAACCACCTGAAGCTGGGATGTCCCTCCTACCATTTAATTCGCTCTTCTGACTGTCCATCAACTCCTGGCTGAACCCTACTTCACAGCCACACAGAGAGTGGTTTAATCACTGTAGCACATTCAGAGATGAATTTATAGCCATTAATCTAAAATAATTCAGATTTTAAACCAAATAACGCTTTCTGTTTGTCGTAGATGGACAAGATTAATATGAGATTAAAGGCGAGTTCCTAATAAGTTAATGAAGCCAAGCTAGAGCTCTGAGAGACGTTCACAGTGATCGGGGCAGATGTTTTGATCAAGAGAGCTTTAGAAAATATGAACATTTTCTCTAACAATAAACATACAAATATGTATTTTACACTTATAAGGAAGGTGGAATCTTATAGTTAATTGTTTTATATTTGATTATACTGTATTTAGAAAGCATTTAAGTCATTTCAAGCCTTATTCAGTTTTGTTGAATAGGAAATACATAAAATATTTAATTCATATTTGTATCATATTTGTACTGTGTACTTGAGCTTGTATCCTCAAAGTCACAACACCTCAGCAATTTATAACTATATTTACCAGAAAGGTGAGATTTTATCCTTTCTTTGAAGATGCAGCATTAATAGTTATTGCTTATGGCAGTCTCATGATGCATAATTACTTTTGGGGATTACGTAGATTACAGTTTTTAAACAGTAAAGCACGATGCTCAAAAGACTCAAAGTCGCCAAACGAAATGTCCTTACAGCTGAGAGCATTAGTAAAGAATAGAGGCTGTCACCACCCTTTTTCCCTTTTCTATGAAAGTATGAAAAGCTGTAGTCCGGAGGGAGGCTTCAATAAGGGCGGCACTACAATCTGAAGACAGACATGTTTCAGTGAGAAACATGCAATCAACATTGCACTCAGTAATGAGGTCATTCACGAGAATGGTTTTCTAGTGATTGCTGTAACATTTAAAAGTGCCATATTCAATGTGTGGCCACTCTGCCCCTGGAGCATCAGTCTCGAGGTAACCAATGGAATAACAACCAAATGAATAACGTTACAACCACGTTTTCTGACAGTCTCCAATCTATCAGAATGGGAGATGACAGTTTGTATAAACTCACTAGAAGGCAGATTTAGAGGAACATAAATTAGGTTACTCACAATAACCATTTTTACAGGAGTTAATATGCTTTTCAAGTCCTCTGTTGCTTATTCTGACAGGGAGGACTACCAGACCCTGTCCGTCAGTCTCTAAAACAGTTTGCGATGTTGCTGGAAATAATCATGGAACCCCTGTGGTTAGGGTGAATCCTGTCTCTTTTTAAAAGTGCTGGTTGCTCCCACAGCAAATCAAAGTTGTCACGAAAGGAAACATTCCTGTCGTTGCAAAGTTTCTTCAGGTACTCGTTTAGGGCACCAATCATTATTTGGAGGGATGATTCTGGTGTGAAACAAGAGATCTAAACTACAAGGAAGTGCAATGTCATGGCCCTTGGGCCATTGAATGTTTTGGCACTTTAAAACTAAACAAAAAGGGGTAACAACAAAGATTAAACTTAAAATGACACCCAACCTGTTCAACAAGCAAACATGACATATGTGCTTTTACCAAACAACAATCCCCAAATTCTCTGAACAGCTCAGGACATTACGCAAACCCGGTGAACCTGATAGGAAGATATGAGCCTGGATTGTCTGAAAAATAGGCCCTGTACACAGTTTGTACAACACATCCTGAGACAGCGTTTGTGATACAACGGAGAGTTGTCTGGCAAATTCTGCTGCGGAGGAATCTACTGTCCCAACCTGTGTCGTGATCGGCTTGAAAAAAGCCTACACTGAGATGCCTTTCCTGATTATTTTTGTACCACATGAGACAACGTTTGTACATTTTTGAACATCTGCAGGTTCTGTTATAATCTTCACCGGCACAGCAGAGAGGCTGGCATATGCTGGTCCTCTCTAGTTTCTCTAGGTTTTCGCCTTTTAATCTACCACCGTGTTCACACTGCCATTACTACTGTTTGGGTTTTATCTGTACAGACTTCGGATAGTAGCTGGTTCATTAAATAAAATTATGTTTGATTGAGAAAACACAAAGACAAAGAAAACATGACAGCATCTGAAGTACTTGCTTGATTCGTTATGGTTTCCATTCAAGGTATTGTTGAGTTAAATGGTAGGCAGGATGGGGCTGATATTTCACATTGTCATATCTTTCATCTTGAGTTCTCATCTTGACCCCCACAGTAATTTACATAATCAGGTGATCACAATGATTAGCCTAAAATGAAAAATAAATGACAGCTAACCGGTTAACCTTGGTGTGGTACATTATCATGGAATTATGTTGGTGTGGAATGTTTGATTTTGGGAAAAAATGAAGTCCATTTCAACAGGTCACAGTTGGTCTTGGATGGACCAAAGTGTTAGTAGCCTAAACCACAAACACCGATGGAAGTGATGATAAAATGAGGAGTCAATTATGACTGCCACTGAGGTCCTTTAGACAAGAATCCTGTCAGGTGTAGCCTATTACTGCTTGGCTGTAACAAAAACCTGCACTGACACCAGCTCTGGCAGGGGACCAGATTGCCCAATCCTGGTTTAAAGTGATGGTAAGAGTTTGCATTATCTTCATGTCATTGTTCTCATGCTGCATTATACTAACTCATACTTGCCCTTTAACCCATAAGCTTCACTCCCACCTTTGCAATTAAGATCTACAGTGTCTGTATACATACTGTACTTTCCATTACTTTGCTGACGTGATGGGTTATTACCCAATGGCCTGAGAACAAAATGTGAAGAATTGGCTCACCTGACAACCCGTCCGGCTACCCATCCTTCCCGTATAAAAACCCTGATGTGTTGTCTGTCAGACACAGAGGAGTAGGTACAGCTCGATCGTCTGTGTTATTTTCCATTAAACACTATTCATCTCTTACCTGAACTGAACGACTGGTAAGGACATTTTTATTTAACTGACTCATTGTTTTGACCTGTGTTTAATTATTGTATGTTGAATGTTCAGTGAAAAAGTCAATGTTATGGTCGTAGAGGTACTTTGAGAAATTTGAGGTACTGAGAAAATTTGTGTTTTGATAATTGAACATGGAGGTCTCACAACATCACCAGATTTGCTAGCTCAGAAATATACAAATATAAATACATAAATAAATATACATTTTAGAATTGTATATATTTTTTATATTTAAATACAAGTGTAAATAAAAAAGTTTATGTTTTTTCATCCCTCACGGTGATAGCTTTGAAATACATTGGTTATGGGGAATACACATTAACTATATAAGTCTATAGGGTACACTTGACAATACATTTTAAGACATACAGTGGGGAAAAAAAGTATTTAGTCAGCCACCAATTGTGCAAGTTCTCCCACTTAAAAAGATGAGAGAGGCCTGTAATTTTCATCATAGGTACACGTCAACTATGACAGACAAAATGAGAATTTCTTTTCCAGAAAATCACATTGTAGGATTTTTAATGAATTGATTTGCAAATTATGGTGGAAAATAAGTATTTGGTCAATAACAAAAGTTTCTCAATACTTTGTTATATACCCTTTGTTGGCAATGACACAGGTCAAACGTTTTCTGTAAGTCTTCACAAGGTTTTCACACACTGTTGCTGGTATTTTGGCCCATTCCTCCATGCAGATCTCCTCTAGAGCAGTGATGTTTTGGGGCTGTCGCTGGGCAACACGGACTTTCAACTCCCTCCAAAGATTTTCTATGGGGTTGAGATCTGGAGACTGGCTAGGCCACTCCAGGACCTTGAAATGCTTCTTACGAAGCCACTCCTTCGTTGCCCGGGCGGTGTGTTTGGGAATATTGTCATGCTGAAAGACCCAGCCACGTTTCATCTTCAATGCCCTTGCTGATGGAAGGAGGTTTTCACTCAAAATCTCACGATACATGGCCCCATTCATTCTTTCCTTTACACGGATCAGTCGTCCTGGTCCCTTTGCAGAAAAACAGCCCCAAAGCATGATGTTTCCACCCCCATGCTTCACATTAGGTATGGTGTTCTTTGGATGCAACTCAGCATTCTTTGTCCTCCAAACACGACGAGTTGAGTTTTTACCAAAAAGTTATATTTTGGTTTCATCTGACCATATGACATTCTCCCAATCCTCTTCTGGATCATCCAAATGCACTCTAGCAAACTTCAGACGGGCCTGGACAGGTACTGGCTTAAGCAGGGGGACACGTCTGGCACTGCAGGATTTGAGTCCCTGGCGGCGTAGTGTGTTACTGATGGTAGGCTTTGTTACTTTGATCCCAGCTCTCTGCAGGTCATTCACTAGGTCCCCCCGTGTGGTTCTGGGATTTTTGCTCACCGTTCTTGTGATCATTTTGACCCCACGGGGTGAGATCTTGCGTGGAGCCCCAGATCGAGGGAGATTATCAGTGGTCATGTATGTCTTCCATTTCCTTATAATTGCTCCCACAGTTGATTTCTTCAAACCAAGCTGCTTACCTATTGCAGATTCAGTCTTCCCAGCCTGGTGCAGGTCTACAATTTTGTTTCTGGTGTCCTTTGACAGCTCTTTGGTCTTGGCCATAGTGGAGTTTGGAGTGTGACAGTTTGAGGTTGTGGACAGGTGTCTTTTATACTGATAACAAGTTCAAACAGGTGCCATTAATAATAAATAATAATATGCCATTTAGCAGACGCTTTTATCCAAAGCGACTTACAGTCATGCGTGCATACATTTTTGTGTATGGGTGGTCCCGGGGATCGAACCCACTACCTTGGTGTTACAAGCGCCGTGCTCTACCAGCTGAGCTACAGAGGACCACCATTAATACAGGTAACGAGTGGAGGACAGAGGAGCCTCTTAAAGAAGAAGTTACAGGTCTGTGAGAGCCAGAAATCTTGCTTGTTTGTAGGTGACCAAATACTTATTTTCCACCATAATTTGCAAATAAATTCATTAAAAATCCTACAATGTGATTTTCTGGATTTTGTTTTCTCAATTTGTCTGTCATAGTTGACGTGTACCTATGATGAAAATTACAGGCCATCTTTTTAAGTGGGAGAATTTGCACAATTGGTGGCTGACTAAATACTTTTTTCCCCCACTGTACATGCGTCTTGGTTGAAAAATCCTTAGAATTACCTGCTCAGGTTTCATCGTATTTGCCTACAATAATAATGTAAAGCCTCTCATGTACTTGAATTGAAGTGTTTCATTCCAAAATTATATATATATCCATTTTCTGAAATGTTGGTAAATTAGCTTTTATTATTTGAAGAACTTATGAAAGAGATGTGTTTTTTTAAACCATCTAATCATGGCATGGTGTTCAATGACAGACATTGTATTTCTTTGAAATCTATCAGTTGATGGTTTCATTTCAGAGAGACAATCATGTTTTGTTGCAAAACACAATTTACAGTTGAAGTCGGAAGTTTACATACACCTTAGCCAAATACATTTAAACTCAGTTTCACAATTCCTGACATTTAATCCTAGTAAAAATTCCCTGTCTTAGGTCAGTTAGGATCACCACTTTATTTTAAGAATGTGAAATGTCAGAATAATAGTAGAGAGTGATTTATTTCAGCTTTTATTTATTTCATCACATTCCCAGTGGGTCAGAAGTTTACATACACTCAATTAATATTTGGTAGCATTGCCTTTAAAATGGTTTAACTCGGGTCAAATGTTTCGGGTAGCCTTCCACAAGCTTCCCACAATAAGTTCGGTGAATTTTGGCCCATTCCTCCTACAGAGCTGGTATAACTGAGTCAGGTTTGTAGGCCTCCTTGCTCACACATGCTTTTTCAGTTCTGCCCACAAACTTTCTGTAGGATTGAGGTCAGGGCTTTTTGATGGCCACTCCAATACCTTAACTTTGTTGTCAAGCCATTTTGCCACAACTTTGGAAGTATGCTTGGGGTCATTGTCCATTTGGAAGACCCATTTGCGACCAAGCTTTAACTTCCTGACTGATGTCTTGAGATGTTTCTTCAATATATCCACATAATTTTCCTTCCTCATGATGCCATCTATTTTGTGAAGTGCACCAGTCCCTCCTGCAGCAAAGCACCCCCACAGCATGATGCTGCCACACCCGTGCTTCACGGTTGGGATGGTGTTCTTCGGCTTGCAAGGAACCCCCTTTTTCCTCCAAACATAACAATGGTCATTATGGCCAAACGGTTCTATTTTTGTTTCATCAGACCAGAGGACATTTCTCAAAAAAGTACGATCTTTGTCCCCATGTGCAGTTGCAAACCGTAGTCTGGCTTTTTTATGGCGGTTTTGGAGCAGTGGCTTCTTCCTTGCTGAGAGGCCTTTCAGGTTATGTCGATATAGGACTTGTTTTACTGTGGATATAGATACTTTTGTACCGGTTTCCTCCAGCATCTTCACAAGGTCCTTTGCTGCTGTTCTGGGATTGATTTGCACTTTTCGCACCAAAGTACGCTAATCTCTAGGAGACAGAACGCGTCTCCTTCCTGAGCGGTATGACGGCTGCGTGGTCCCATGGTGTTTATACTTGTATACTATTGTTTGTACAGATGAACGTGGCAACTTCAGGCGTTTGGAAATTGCTCCCAAGGATGAACCAGACTTGTGGAGGTCTACAATTTTCTTTCTGAGGTCTTGGCTGATTTATTTTGATTTTCCCATGATGTCAAGCAAAGAGGCACTGAGTTTGAAGGTAGGCCTTGAAATACATCCACAGGTACACCTCCAATTGACTCAAATTATGTCCATTTGCCTATCTGAAGCTTCTAAAGCCATGACATCCATTTTCTGGAATTTTCCAAGCTGTTTAAAGACACAGTCAACTTAGTGTATGTAAACTTCTGACCCACTGGAATTGTGATACAGTGAATTATAAGTGAAATAATCTGTCTGTAAACAATTGTTGGAAAAATTACTTGTGTCATGCACAAAGTAGATGTCCTAACCGACTTACCAAAACTATAGTTTGTTAACAATACATTTGTGGAGTCATTGAAAAACAAGTTTTAATGACTCCAACCTAAGTGTATGTAAACTTCCGACTTCAACTGTATCCTCTTCACTCTCAGTGTCACGCCCTGGCTCTGGGACTCTGTTATGTTGAGCCATGGTGTGTAGTTTCTATGTATTTGTGTTCTAGGTTCGTTATCTAGCTCATGTGTTTCTGTGTTGGCCGGGGTGGTTCTCAATCAGAGGCAACGAGTGTCAGCTGTTGCTTGTTGTCTCTGATTGGGAACCATACTTAGGCAGCCTGTTTTCCACAGTGTTTTGTGGGATCTTGTTCCGTGTATGGTTTGTGTCTGTTACCTAGGACATCACGTATCGTTTTGTTGTTTTGTTTCGTGTGGTGAATCAAATAAAAGTATGTTCACTCATCACGCTGCGCCTTGGACCCTTTACTCAGTACTTTGTTGAAGCACCTTTGGCAGTGATTACAGCCTTGAGTCTTCTTGGGTATGACGCTACAAGCTTGCCACACCTGTATTTGGGGAGTTTCTAACGTTCTCCTCTGCAGATCCTCTCAAGCTCTGTCAGGTTGGATGGGGAGCGTCGCTTGTGGTGGATATTTTAATCAATAATGAGGAGAAATGTCTCTACTATTGTTAAGCATATTTAATTGTTAACTATTAATATTAAACAAATCAGGTAAATATGTGATTCTTCTCCCAAACGCTGCACAGCTGTTTTCAGCTCTCTCCAGAGATGTTTGATCAGGTTCAAGTACGGGCTCTGGCTGGGCCACTCAAGGACATTCAGAGACTTGTCCCGAAGCCACTCCTGCGTTATCTTGGCTGTGTGCTTAGGGTCGTTGTCCTGTTGGAAGGTAAACCTTCGCCCCACTCTGAGGTTTTCATCAAGGATCTCTCTGTACTTTGCTCCGTTCATCTTTCCCTCGATCCTAGTCTCCCAGTCCCTGCCGCTGAAAAACATCCCCACAGCATGATGCTGCCACCACCATGCTTCACCGTAGGGATGGTATTGGCCAGGTGATGAGCGGTGCCTGGTTTCCTCCAGACGTGACGCTTGGCATTCAGGCCAATGAGTTCAATCTTGGTTTCATCAGACCAGAGAATCTTGTTTCTCATTGTCTGAGAGTCCTTTAGGTGCCTTTTGGCAAACTCCAAGCGGGCTGTCATGTGCCTTTTACTGAGGAATATCTTCAGTTTGGCCACTGTACCATAAAGGCCTGATTGGTGGAGTGCTGCAGCGATGGTTGTTCTTCTGGAACAGAGGAACTTTGGAGCTCTGTCAGAGCGACCATTGGGTTCTTGGTCACCTCCCTAACCATTGCCCATCTACCCTGATTGCTCAGTTTGGCCGGGCAGCCAGCTCTAGGAAGAGTCTTGGTGGTTCCAAACTTCTTCTATTTAAGAATGATGGAGGCCACTGTGTTCTTCGGGTCCTTCAATGCTGCAGAAATGTTTTGGTACCCTTCCCCAGATCTGTGCCTCGACACAATCCTGTCTCGGAGCTCTGGACAATTCCTTCGACCTCATGGCTTGGTTTTTGCTCTGACATGCACTGTCAACTGTGGGACCTTTTTTATATAGACAGGTGTGTGCCTTTCCTAATCATGTCCAATCAATTGAATTTACCACAGGTGGACTCCAAGTTGTAGAAACATCTCAAGGATGATCAATGGAAACAGGATGCACCTGAGCTCAATTTCGAGTCTCATAGTAAAGGGTCTGAATACTTATGTAAAGATGTTTGTTCTTTTTTTATATATAATTTCTAAAAACCTGTTTTCGCTTTGTCATTATGAGAAATTGTGTGTAGATTGATGGGAAAAAACAATTTAATCCATTTTAGAATAAGGCTGTAACATAACAAAATGTGGAAAAAGTGAAGGGGTCTGAATACTTTCCAAATGCACTGTATAAGCAATCATTTCTGCTGAAAAAACACAGATGTGAAAAATTAGTGTATAGCGTTTTGGAATGAAACTCTTCAATTGTGCCCTTTTGTGCAGAGCAGCCTTACAGCTTCTCTTTGTAGGATAATCATGTATTTTGTTATCCTATATCTTTCCATACCATTCTAAGCAGATCACCCAGAGACAACATGAAGCTGGAGCTGCTGGTGGTGTTGGCTGTAGCAGCCCTGGTTCCCAGCCTGTCTGAGGGGCGGCTGCTCTCCAAATGTGAGCTGAAGACCAAACTGGCAGAGGCTGCCGACCAATTCAATCTGACTGTGAAAATTGCAGCAAAGGGTGTCGAACTGGACGAAGTCTTGGCCAAAAGTGGGTTGTGAATTCTATGTAGGCCTATTGCATTTTTGCAAGTTTCGAGAGATTGAAGGTGGTGTGAGATAGCATAGAACATCAATGTCACTGAAAAACATCTCAAATTTAGTTAAAGGGGAAGTTCAATATTTTCCAACCTAATGTTAAATGGTTCCTCACCCTAGTAGTCTATGGGCCTGGATATATTTTCTTTAAAGAGACACTACAAACTTCAGTGAACTGAAGCTGAAGTTTGCAGTGGCTGTTTAAAGAGAAAAACCAGGATTACAGTTTATCTTATAGACTACTCAGAGTGAGGAACCATCTATGTAACGCCAAGGTAGTGGGTTCGATCCCCGGGACCACCCATACACAAAAAATGTATGCACGCATGACTGTAAGTCGCTTTGGATAAAAGCGTCTGCTAAATGGCATATTATTATTATTATTATTATCATCAAGTTGTGAAATCCTGAACTTCCCCTTTAATGACAGCACCCTGAGGATCATGTCAGGCTTTTGATCATGTCAAACCCTTACTTTGGTATTTAACAACACACCTCCAGGTACTGTTGTTTTAACACTTCCAAATATATAATCTCTATCTCTCTATTCCCTTCCTGCTCTCACTGTGACTTGGTTGGTCCAGTTATCTGCAGTTTGGACCTAAAGTCTGGCTTAAACACCAGCCTTGTGACCAACCTTGTCCTGCGCAAACCTATCCTGCATAAACCCAAAAGGCGCCCCATCAGCAGGAGACCTGTGAGACTGTTCGGGCGCAAACGTCCAGGTAGAGATGTTGAGTCAAAGGAAGATGGAGTCAGTTCTGAGGGAGAAGAGGACAACCCTAGACCTACAGGGAAGCCTGGGAGAATGAGCCAAAGACCTACAGGAAAGCCCGGGGGACTGAAACCAAAACCTACCGGGAAGACAGAGGGAGTGAGCCCAAGATCAGAGAGGCCTGAGGGGAAGAGACCGAGACCAGGGAGGCCTGTGAGAGGAAGGGACAAGCGTGAGGCAGAGGAGTCCGCTGGTGATGAGGAAAAACATGACAGAGTTGAGGCGCAAGAGAGCAAAGCAGCTGAGGATGAAGAGTTTGGCGGCTATGAGGAAGAGGGTGATGAAGACGAGGTTGACGAGGATGAGCTGGACGAGGAGGACCTGGAAGAGTTAGAGGCTGAGCTGGACGACCAAGAAAGAGAGCAACCGAAAGAGGGAGAGGGGAGCAGGCGGAAGAGACACATCCCAAAGCAGTTCAGAAGTCCCGGACACAGCCGCAAGCCACCGCCACGTAAGCCGATGCGCAAGCCGTTCAGGCCATTCAAGCCAATCAAGACCCTGTCCTTCAGCTTTTTCGGTCTTTTCCAGCTGAGCAATCGCCTCGCCTGCGTCTCCTCCAACAACACTCGCTCTCTCAATCTCTGTAAGACAGAGTGCAGCTGTGAGTACAAACATCTTTCCATCCTCAACCTGTTTAGCAGAATGTCAACAAATGCCTGTATGTATGTATGTATGTATGTATGTATGTACAGTACATGTATGTATGAAAGAATGAATAGGCCTAAATGAGTGAATGAATTAATGTCAGGCTGTTGATCATGCCTTACTTTGGTGTTCAACAACACACCTCCAGGTACTGTTGTTTTAAAACTTCCAAATATATAATCTCTCTCTATTCCTTTCCTGCTCTCACTGTAACTTGGTTGGTCCAGTTATTTGCAGTTTGGACATAAAGTCTGGCTTAAACGCCAGCCTTGTGACCAACCTTGTCCTGCACAAATGAATGAATGAACAAACAACCGGATGGATTGTTCTTGTGTCATGAACAAGACAAGAGAATAGAACTAGTGGGTTTCATAATCAACCTCTCACTTCTCTGTAATCACACTCACTCGGTTTAGTCCTACATTAGCGAACCATTTCAAGGTGCAGGGCTAAAATACTGTACCTGCAAAGTGCACACAAAGGCCTTATGTAATTCACAGGAACTGTACTGACTGTATGACTGTCTCTCTGCCCTTCCAGCCTTCGTTGATGATGACATCAGTGATGACATCGACTGCTTTGTGAAGTCTCGTGCCTGGATGTAAGTTTACCGACTGCCAACACTAGTGAATAGTGAGGACAATGACATTGATGCCACACTTACTGATCTTAAATCCATAAAATATGAATTCGAGTGAAGCAGCCCTCTGACATCACAAATGAGGTGTTGTTTGGACCCTAGTTACTGCAATCTTTTTATTTATCCAACTAGGCAAGCCAGTTACAGTGAGGGAAAAAAGTATTTGATCCCCTACTGATTTTGTACGTTTGCCCACTGACAAAGAAATGATCAGTCTATAATTTTAATGGTAGGTTTATTTGAACAGTGAGATACAGAATAACAACAAAAAAAATCCAGAAAAACGCATGTCAAAAATTTTTATTAATTGATTTGCATTTTAATGAGGGAAATAAGTATTTGACCCCCTCTCAATCAGAAAGATTTATGGCTCCCAGGTGTCTTTTATGCAGGTAACGAGCTGAGATTAGGAGCACACTCTTAAAGGGAGTGCTCCTAATCTCAGCTTGTTACCTGTATAAAAGACACCTGTCCACAGAAGCAATCAATCAATCAGATTCCAAACTCTCCACCATGGCCAAGACCAAAGAGCTCTCCAAGGATGTCAGGGACAAGATTGTAGACCTACACAAGGCTGGAATGGGCTACAAGACCATCGCCAAGCAGCTTGGTGAGAAGGTGACAACAGTTGGTGCAATTATTCGCAAATGGAAGAAACACAAAATAACTGTCAATCTCCCTCGGCCTGGGGCTCCATGCAAGATCTCACCTCGTGGAGTTGCAATGATCATGAGAACGGTGAGGAATCAGCCCAGAACTACAAGGGAGGATCTTGTCAATGATCTCAAGGCAGCTGGGACCATAGTCACCAAGAAAACAATTGATAACACACTACGCCGTGAAAGACTGAAATCCTGCAGCGCCCGCAAGGTCCCCCTGCTCAAGAAAGCACATATACATGCCCGTCTGAAGTTTGCTAATGAACATCTGAATGATTCAGAGGAGAACTTGGTGAAAGTGTTGTGGTCAGATGAGACCAAAATGGAGCTCTTTGGCATCAACTCAACTCGCCGTGTTTGGAGGAGGAGGAATGCTGCCTATGACCCCAAGAACACCATCCCCACCGTCAAACATGGAGGTGGAAACATTATGCTTTGGGGGTGTTTTTCTGCTAAGGGGACAAGACAACTTCACCGCATCAAAGGGACGATGGACGGGGCCATGTACCGTCAAATCTTGGGTGAGAACCTCCTTCCCTCAGCCAGGGCATTGAAAATGGGTCATGGATGGGTATTCCAGCATGACAATGACCCAAAACACACGGCCAAGGCAACAAAGGAGTGGCTCAAGAGGAAGCACATTAAGGTCCTGGAGTGGCCTAGCCAGTCTCCAGACCTTAATCCCATAGAAAATCTGTGGAGGGAGCTAAAGGTTCGAGTTGACAAACGTCAGGCTCGAAACCTTAATGACTTGGGGAAGATCTGCAAAGAGGAGTGGGTCAAAATCCCTCCTGAGATGTGTGCAAACCTGGTGGCCAACTACAAGAAACGTCTGACCTCTGTGATTGCCAACAAGGGTTTTGCCACCAAGTAATAAGTCATGTTTTGCAGAGGGGTCAAATACTTATTTCCCTCATTAAAATGAAAATACATTTATAACATTTCTGACATGCGTTTCTTTTTTCTTTTTTTTTGTTATTCTGTCTCTCACTGTTCAAATAAACCTATCATTAAAATTATAGACGGATCATTTCTTTGTCAGTGGGCAAACGTACAAAATCAGCAGGGGATCAAATACTTTTTTCCCTCACTGTAAGAACAAATTCTTATTTACAATGACAACCTACCCTGGCCAAACCCTCCCCTAACCTGGGCCAATTGTGTGCCGCCCTATGGGACTCCCGATTGGTTGTGATACAGCCCGGGATCGAACCCGGGTCTGTAGTGACGCCTGTAGCACTGCGATGCAGTGCCTTAGACCGCTGCGCCACTCGGGAGACCAAAAATCTAATTCTATAGAAATTTGACATTCAAAATGCACTAATATAAATGCTTACTTTTGTACAGTAATAGTATTTTTAGCCGTTGTACAACTTTCGAGCAAGTGGTATTATTGACTGCAAAAAATAACAAAATATTTATCACCATCTTCATTTGTGTATTACAGGAAGGCTCTGAGGTTCCCATGGAAATGTGCCAGGCTGCAAGTCTCTGAGTACTTTGAGTGTGACCAACCACTTAACAGTACTATGAGTACTTTGCAAACAACAACTTAACAGGGCCTTTTCCTTCTTTCTCTCAACTCTTATCTTCTGCTATAAGCTCCATTTAGCAAATATGCTACTTTCCATCACTTCTAGATGGTGTGCTAGGAACGATTTGAGCCCCTTATCCCCTTATGTTGGGACAACATTGAAAAAGTGCCTCCTACAGATATTAGGCAACAACATCCTATTCTCCTTCTCTCCTCCAACTGTCCAACTACCAGGAGTAAGGAAGTTAAATCTAACAGATGCTATTTTGTTGACAATGTCTCCTTTGTTGCTTGGTAACAACATTTCCTACTTTGACAAACAAATACATAAAATGACCTTAAAGATTTTTGGTTTCCAGTGTATTATTTCCTATATGCCACTATCTGAATGTCTGTACACTGCTTGTGTGTATTAAATAAATATAATTCTATTAAATTAAATATTACATTTGAATCTCAAAGAAATGAAACCCAACATGTATTATTAAGTTGTCATTATTTAGAGGGAGGATCATGGTATGAAATGAGATATGTAGAATAGAAGCTATCCACTGGGTACAGACATCAATTCAACGCAGTGGTGGAAAAGTACCCAATTGTCATACTTGAGTAAAAGTAAAGATACCTTAATAGAAAATGACTCAAGTGACAGTCACCCAGTAAAATACTACTTGAGTAAAAGTCTAAAAGTATTTGGTTTTAAATATACTTTATCAACAGTAAATGTAGTTGCTAAAATATACTTAACTATTAAAAGTAAGCGTATAAATCATTTCAAATTCCTTATATTAAGCAAACCAGAAGGCACCATTTTCTTGTTTTTTTAATTTATTTACAGGTAGCCAGGGGCACACCAACATTCAGACGTGTGTTTAGTGAGTCCGCCAGATCAGAGGCAATCAGGATGACCAGGGATGTTCTCTTGATAAGTGTATGAATAGGACCAATTTCCTATCTTGCAAAGCGTTGAACATGTAACGAGTACTTTTAGGTGTCAGAAAATGTATGGCGTAAAAAGTTGTAAATAGTAAAGTACAGATACAACGAAAAAGCTACTTAAGTAGTACTTTAAAGTATTTTTACTTAAGTACTTTCAACCCCTGATTCAACGTCAATGCCACTGTTGGTTCAACGTAATTTAATTGAAATGATGTGGAAACAACATTGATTCAACCAGTGTGTGTGCTCAGTGGGTATTAACAGAACATGTCATGGGCCTTGGGTCAGTGGATGTTTGGAGCTTTTAAATGAAAGAATGGGGATAACAAAAATGACAAATATAGCAAACTTCGTATACACAAATATAGCCCCAAAATACTCTGTGCACGGATTAAAATAATATATTGTGGTTCCTCTAACAATTGTCATTTTGAAAACTTGATTAACAAAATAATCTGTACACATTGCATAACTTCATTATTCATTAATTGATAACTAACTGGGAGCAGAAATCAGCCCAATATTAGCCAAATAATGGTCATTTTGCACAAAACCCCCAATTTAGACAGGTCCCACAGGGCTAAAGATGGGACAGCCCATCTCTCATTTGCCAGAATTTCGCTATGGCCATTCTGCCTCTGATTACTTATAAATCCCACTGACTACAGCACAGCCTCCTTAGAAACACACGGAAGAAAGCCACTGAGTGTTGGGCTGGGCTGCTGGAGAACTGGAGCAACCGCAATAATATGACAAAAATGACAGTTAAATTGGTTCTGTGAACTTTCCCAGAATTCTTTAAGGTTATTACATTACCTGGAAACCTAATAAGAACATTAGGGGAATGTTCTGTGGTGGTTGTTAAAGATGTTGTGCACAACATTTGAGTGAATGTTAGAACATTCCAAGGATATTTCATTAAAAAAAATATCATCCTAATGTTAGATAAAACCCTAACTAGAACTTAATGGGAATGTTAGCTAATATCCTGGAAATGTTCCCGGTTGGCTGGGAACCAGTTAAACGTGTTGCTAGTCCACAATTGACATTTCTGTTTGTTCTGAACGCTCCATAACAAACGTTGGCCGTGCAAAATATGGATAACACTATCATATTGACCTCATGGACTGTCAGTCCTTGCATGCCTTAGCGCTACAGAAAACCAATTGGTAGGGCTGCTGTTTGGTTATTTTTCGAAATAAGCAGTGGCCCTTTAAGATCACCAGACTGCAGAGTCACTAGAAATAAAATTCCCCTCCCAACTATGGCTTCTAATATATTGTTTGTGGGGGGTATTTTCAAGCACATTTGACAATACATCTATAAACAAGGAGGTATGTGAGTGTTTGTTGACAACCCATTTACTGATTTGCTCAGGTTTCATTATTGTATTTGTCTACAACGATAAAGTTATTTCATGAACTGGAACCCTGGGAGGTATTTAAAGCCGTAATATGATGATTGTACAGAATATTACTCACTTATGTACTTCCAATTGCTGTTGAATGTTATTGTTCCAGTGTACATTTCCGCTGTGCCCAAAGTGCAGATGACTGCATTATAGCTTCATTATAGGATACTATATACTTGGTTCACAGCGTTTAACACTGTTCTGTGAACAGATCACCCAGAGACAACATGAAGCTGTAGCTGCTGGTGGTGTTTGCTGTAGCAGCCTTGGTATTTCCCAGGCTGTCTGAGGGGCGGCTGCTTTCTCAATGTGAGCTGAAGACCAAACTGGAGGAAGCGGCCCTCAAAGTCAGACGAAGAAAATCCAGGGAAAGGGCATCAATGGATAACATCTTGACCAAAGGTGGGTTATAAAACATGTATTGCATTTTTGCAAAGTTTGGAAGTTCTCACTATGGTGTTGAACGCTGACCTTTAGTCAATGAACAGCATTCTCACGTAGAAGTTCCTTTTGTCCAGGTGGGAAAGGGCAGTGTTGAGTGCAATATAGATTGCGTCATCTGTGGATCTGTTGGGGCGGTATGCAAATTGGAGTGGGTCTAGGGTGTCTGGGATAATGGTGTTGATGTGAGCCATGACCAGCGTTTCAAAGCACTTCATGGATACAGACGTGAGTGCTACGGGTCGGTAGTCATTTAGGCAGGTTACCTTGGTGTTCTTGGGCACAGGGACTATGGTGGTCTGCTTGAAACATGAAGGTATTACAGACTCGGCCAGGGACAGGTTGAAAATGTCAGTGAAGACACTTGCCAGTTGGTCAGCGCATGCTCGGAGTACACCAAGGTGGTAAGGGTAGGCAACAACACATCTGCCATGCTGATCCTCAACATGGGGGCCCCTCAGGGGTGCTGACCTGTTTAAAAGTCTTACTCACATCGGCTACGGTGAGTGTGATCACACAGTCGTCCGGAACAGTTGGTGCTCTAATGGTCTCTGTCTTTCTTTCTATGTTTCCTTTCTGCTCATACCATGACGTGGTTGTTCCAGTTATCTTGAATACCAGCCTTGTGACCAACCTTATTCTGCGACATAACCCTGAGGTGAAAGACGAGATCCCGGAGATGAAGAGGCATCCTGGCCAAAGAGCGAGACCTGCCATGAGGGCCAGACGCCCACCGTTTAGCTGGAGGCCACAAGGACCCGAAAACAAGGAAGAATATGTTTTTTTCTTCTTTTTCCCACCTTTATTTAACCAGGTAAGCCAGTTGAGAACAAGTTCTCATTTACAACTGCGACCTGGCCAAGATAAAGCAAAGCAGTGCGATAAAAACAACAACAACACAGAGTTACATATAGAATAAACAAACGTACAGTCAATAACACAATAGAAAATCTATATACAGTGTGTGCAAATGTAGTAAGTTATGGAGGTCAGGCAATAAATAGGCCATAGTGCAAAATAATTACAATTTAGTATTAACACTGGAGTGATAGATGTGCAGAAGATGATGTGCAAATAGAGATACTGGGGTGCAAATGAGCAAAATAAATGACAATGTAAATAACAATATGGGGATGAGGTAGTTGGGTGGGCTAATTACAGATGGGCTGTGTACAGGTGCAGTGATCGGTAAGCTGCTCTGACAACTGATGCTTAAAGTTAGTGAGGGAGATAAGTGTCTCCAGCTTCAGAGATTTTTAGCAGTTTGTTCCAGTCATTTGCAGCAGAGAACTGGAAGGAATGGCGGCCAAAGGAGGTGTTGGCTTTGGGGATGACCAGTGAGATATACAGTGGGGAAAAAAAGTATTTAGTCAGCCACCAATTGTGCAAGTTCTCCCACTTAAAAAGATGAGAGAGGCCTGTAATTTTCATCATAGGTAAACGTCAACTATGACAGACAAATTGAAAAAAAAAAAATCCAGAAAATCACATTGTAGGATTTTTAATGAATTTATTTGCAAATTATGGTGGAAAATAAGGATTTGGTCACCTACAAACAAGCAAGATTTCTGGCTCTCACAGACCTGTAACTTCTTCATTAAGAGGCTCCTCTGTCCTCCACTCGTTACCTGTATTAATGGCACCTGTTTGAACTTGTTATCAGTATAAAAGACACCTGTCCACAACCTCAAACAGTCACACTCCAAACTCCACTATGGCCAAGACCAAAGAGCTGTCAAAGGACACCAGAAACAAAATTGTAGACCTGCACCAGGCTGGGAAGACTGAATCAGCAATAGGTAAGCAGCTTGGTTTGACGAAATCAACTGTGGGAGCAATTATTAGGAAATGGAAGACATTATACCCCACGCAAGATCTCACCCCGTGGGGTCAAAATGATCACAAGAACGGTGAGCAAAAATCCCAGAACCACACGGGGGGACCTAGTGAATGACCTGCAGAGAGCTGGGACCAAAGTAACAAAGCCTACCATCAGTAACACACTACGCCGCCAGGGACTCAAATCCTGCAGTGCCAGACGTGTCCCCCTGCTTAAGCCAGTACATGTCCAAGCCCGTCTGAAGTTTGCTAGAGTGCATTTGGATGATCCAGAAGAGGATTGGGAGAATGTCATATGGTCAGATGAAACCAAAATATAACTTTTTGGTAAAAACTCAACTCGTCGTGTTTGGAGGACAAAGAATGCTGAGTTGCATCCAAAGAACACCATACCTACTGTGAAGCATGGGGGTGGAAACGTCATGCTTTGGGGCTGTTTTTCTGCAAAGGGACCAGGATGACTGATCCGTGTAAAGGAAAGAATGAATGGGGCCATGTATCGTGAGATTTTGAGTGAAAACCTCCTTCCATCAGCAAGGGCATTGACGATGAAACGTGGGTGGGTCTTTCAACATGACAATGATCCCAAACACACCGCCCGGGCAACGAAGGAGTGGCTTCGTAAGAAGCATTTCAAGGTCCTGGAGTGGCCTAGCCAGTCTCCAGATCTCAACCCCATAGAAAATCTTTGGAGGGAGTTGAAAGTCCGTGTTGCCCAGTGACAGCCCCAAAACATCACTGCTCTAGAGGAGATCTGCATGGAGGAATGGGCCAAAATACCAGCAACAGTGTGTGAAAACCTTGTGAAGACTTACAG